TATCTCACCTTCTTTTTCTCTGTCACACATTTCGCTGCACTTTTTGTTCCAACACTCACTTTTTATATGTATTCGTAGCGGTTTTCTCCTCCATATGGAAGGTGCAGCCTGTTAAAATGTAGGTATGCATTTTTTTGCTTTTGTAATTTGTTTTGAATGTGGAGTGGCATTTTTAGTTGATTTTAGCCTTCCAGCACATTTGCACTCTTTCACCGTTAACACGTTTGCACTTTTACTGCTATGTAGCGGTACTTTCAAAAAGAAATGTTTTTTCGTTGAAATAATCTAAAAGATAAAAAAAGCAATTTAATAGTTTAAGGCTGGGCTAGTGATGACCACTCTTATGCTGGATTTCCACTAGGCATTAAATGGCAAAAATGGCAAATGACAAAGTCGGGCATTAAAAAATTATCGTGTCATTACATTAAAAAAATAGTCATTAAGTTTATTTCCACATGGCATGTTTTTTAATTGCATATATTTTTTGTCATTTCAATGCCTAGTGGAAATTCGGCATTATATACAAAAATTTGATATTTTATGTGTTCGTAACCAAATCACTCTCGAACAGCTCAACGTATTTGTAAAGTATAAAAACACGCTGATCACAGTTCAGTAAAAGGATGTATGTAGACAAAAATATGAATCGGGCGCGGAAATTTCTAATCTAATAATTAAGATGATGAGAAAATTTTTAGATGAGAAAATTTCGCAGCCGATCCATATTTTTGTACACATTCTTTCTAGGCGAGTCAAACTAGATTTGAAAATAGGTAATCTGATCTGTGATGAACATGTTTTTTAGCTCAGCGGAACAACCATTTTAGGGCATTTTGGTCTGGCCAGACCCTCATAAAAAATTCTTCTGTAACTCTTAATTTTGTGTAATTCTGATGCATGTAAATTTAATAATGAGATAATATGATTTTAAGGAACTTAATTGTAAAAAGAAGAAATAGGTTTTGAAAATTGAAAGAGCATTCTTATTTTTTGATACTCAACTGATATATCGAAAATAACTATTGAACATGGTCTCAAGGACTTTCAAGGATAATTTGCTAAAAATACATTTTCAATACCTATTTGCCTTATCCACAAAAAAAAATCTTTTTTTTTTTCAATTCCACAGAATTTTCTCTTTCATTTGATTCCCTTATTGTGATTCTACATTACTCTGAACTTTTTAAATAATTTTTTGCATTAAACATATACTTGAAAGTCTTTTTAAAAAATTCGCGTCAGATATAAAAACTAAAAATGCAGTTTTACCATATTTTGCCCGTAGTTTTGGGAGTACATAATTTTTTGTGTGTAGAAAATTGACTGTCGCACGGTGTAGTATAGCGGTCTGGCTAAACCCGTTAGGTACGAATGTGACGTTAGCAGTAAAATATCCTTGTAACTATCCTTATTTTAATCCTGATTTATTTCTTAGAGGATGTCAAAAAACTTCAAATAGCTAGCTCATTTACAAATACGTTTATTTTACAAGTAAAATAGAAAAAGGTCTGGCCAGACCCGTTCGCCTAACGGATGGTTAATTCGCAGATAATTTTAATATTCATTGACTCCTAGTAAATAGACTCCCTAAAATAGCTGTTTATCCCCTTGAACACTGTTGTTTTCAAGATGGCGGCGATTCTTCGACAACTTGAGCCACGCAAATCAAATTTTAAAGTTTAGTTAGCCTCTTTTAAAGACGTTGGAGCTTCCACGTTCCGGCACCGCCTTCGCATTTTATCAGTATGTAGCCGTTTCGCAGTCTACTTCTGCCAACTCTGCTTAATGTTTTCCTCGCCTCTTCAATTTTTAGAGGTTCGGAAGGTACGGTTTTTTGTTAGCAAAACTGCCTTTATGAAATCTGAACACGTTTTCCAGTTTTCGTGGCTCTTTATTCGGCTTGTCTCCAAACTTCTTATAAAACTTTTATCTTGAATTATGCAGTTAGTCTAGGCTTAAGTTACTTTACTTAATATTTTGGCTAATTCTTGGTTGTTATATGAGAAGCTGTGTTGGCGGTTGGTCAAAACTTAACTTACCATAAGAAACTTAAGAATTCGTAGATTTTAGATTTTTAAGTTACGGATTTTATATTCTTAAACCTTACGGAAATTGAGAGCGGTGCGAAAATAAGGCTTGCCAGACTTTTATTTTTCTAGTTCTTAAATATAAGTGAAAGCTAACATTTTTTTGCTGTCAATCAGCTGAAAAAGAAAATACAAAAACAAAATATGTTCACCTTTGGCTTAAGTTGATAATTTGTGCAATATTTCATTATTTCTATATGATTCCAACTAATGTAGATATATAGTAAAACCTCCATTTTTTTTGCATATTCAAGTCAAATTATTTGTTACGGCCATATTAAGTATGTAATTTGTTGCCTGATTGTTTTTAAAATAAGTGGAAAAAAGGGTTAATATTCGAAATATTTGGTTTGTGTACATATAGTAAAATTTCACGAAAAAAATAATTTTTGTAAAACATTTTAACCCATTAGGCCTGTCACGAGAGGGTCTTGTCTTGGAAAGTCTGAATAAAGCGCATTTATGAGGTCGCTAGAGGGTTAAATTATTCTAGAAATTAATTCCACGCGAAATTTTCATTAGCAGTATTCTCAGACAAAATCTTTATACAAAGAACTTAAAAGTACATAGGAAAAAAAAACAAATATGTCTCCTTAAAATATGCAACAACTCTTTATTGCTTTCTTTTATATTTTGTTAATAAATATGACTCTAACACTTTTCGAAGGTGAGGGTTCGGAGTTTGGGTCATCAGTATCGCAATCATCCGAATCTGAGTAACACATGATGTCCACATGTGAGCCCACTGCTGGCTCTATTGGTAATTTTTCAAATTCTTCATGATATCTTGCTTCGATATGAATTTTAACATTTTTTCCCACTTACGGCTCTATTCTGTATCACTGACAAATTCTTGTCACAGTTTTTCTTACGGAAAAATATATGAAAAAGTATACATCTGTCAGTAAAAAATGTTTTTCACCGATACCGAAATGGGCTATTATTCTAAAAATACTCAGACAAAAATTGCAAATTTAATACGGCCGTAAAAAAATTGTTTACCTGAGAATGCAAAAATATTTGGAGGTCTTACTTTATGGATCTAATTCTTTCATCCAAAGTTAGAATCATTCCGCCCCCAGATAATGACCCTGAAATTGTTGCACAGTGTAATCAGTTTCTAACAAAAATTTGCTGCTAAGTTATTCATTAAAATTTTTCTATGCAAAAATCATTCATTCTCTATTAAAAGAAGCTAATTAACACCCAAGTCAGCTCATGCTGATTTACAAGCAGACTAACATCCAGTCATTTTATCTGTACAAAACAATGTAAAGCGCTGATTGCAGCTACCTCCAAGTACGTTTTTATGGCGCTAAATAAATGCAAACGTATTTGTATGTGTTGAAATAATTATTTTT